ACCTGCCACTATCACTCTTCCCAAAAAGCCACCCCCTGGCACTGCAGCTCCATATGGACATAGCACCAGCAGTAGCTTGTACTCCCAGGCAGGTCCCTGTAGCCCCCAGAGACTGCCTGCACTCTTGTTTAATCACATGTTGCTGAGGCTTATCTCACCTGAATTCTTTATTATAGAATGGTTTGGGTTGTAGGAGACCTTAAAGGTCATCTTGCTCCAACTCTCAGGAAGAACCACACACTGAATTGGCTTTAAGACACTAGACTCCCGAGCAGAAAAATTGCCTGATCTTCAGGCAAAAATTGCCAGGTCTTCAACACAACAGCTCCCTACCACAAAACCTATTTCCAGTTCAGAGATCTTTTCATTGAAACTCTTCAATCTTCAGGCACTGTGATTATTTTCAAGAATTATGAGAGTTAGATCCCCAATGTGATGATGCTCCATGAATCAAAAGAGATTGCCTCCCTCAAAGTTGCTAACAAATGCTCAGAGTACCCAGGAGCACACAATCAGCTGAAGCTGGACTGCACAAGAATCCACCTGAGCCTGCAGCAAGTGCTGTCCTGTGTTCTGAACTTGGCTCAGAGCTCCTCCTCTGCCTCCCCAGCCCTGGGGGGCCAGTCAGACTATCTCATTCTTACACTTCTCCCCAGGAGCCTTCTCTTCCTGCATGAAGGCCATTCCAGCATTCTGGAGAACAGTTTCAGTCTTTTGTTTCTCCAGCAGCATCAGCTGGGACACACAGATATCAGAGTTTAGCAGTGCCTCCCCCCAGGCCCATCCTGCTGCCTCCAGCAGCACAACACATCCACACACAGGGATGGCACAGGAAGGTAAATGAAGACTTTTAAACTTGTGTGAGAAAACTACCAAATACCTCTGCAATTACTCAAATATATTTCTTTCAAAAAAAGTTACACCAGCCTATCACAGACTGTGTGGGAAAAAAAATTAACTATGTATAGGATAGGTTTTCATTTTAAACACAGCATTTCTTAACAGATTAAAAACTGAGATGAGCAAATACACTGCTTAGTGTGTAGGAATTTAAATGGTTTCATCCTGGTAATTTCCAGGCAAGTGCCATCAAGAAATAATACAAGTAAAAATGCATGCTGCTCCTTGAAGTATAGAAGTTCTGGATAAGAAAAACTTCATTTCATCATTAAGAGCAAATGCTGTCTCAGAGTCATCAGTATGATCTGCCTTTTGATGCAGAATAAATATCTCAGTCTAGTTTTTAAGACCCTGCTTTCCAAGCTAAGATTACTTATACTTCTTTCTAGTTATGCATGCCTGAGATTTTGCACTCATGTTTGTTTTCAGGGCTTCTATTCAAGTAGAGGGGTCTCAGGTTAAAACTTCCTTCAAATAGGGGCTCGAGTCATTGATTTTATTGCTTAATGATGAATTGAAAAATTAAATAACCCAAGAAAAAAGTTTTGTCAATATTTGAGATGTTGGCACCTCCCTCTGGTAGTGATAGGTTAACCTGGAATCTAGGATTTGTTCATGAATATCCTATTACCGTAAGAGAATGCATTATAAGTATTTCTGTTCGTTGTTGACTTTCACTGCAAGAAGTGTTATTTATTTTGCTAGAATCTACAAGAGTTTCTCTTGCACCATCTGGCAACCTCATTTGCATGTTTCACATTGATTATAGAAACACCATTAAGTATCTGTTTAACTTTCCTCAGCACAATGCTTTATTTTTATTATCAGAAACTGTTCTGATCACCAGCAGTAAATCTATATTCTTCCCAGCTGAACGTCATTTCACATTCCATTTCATCTCAGATGAGTTTCTTCCTATATACTCAGAATACAATTTAGGATGCAGATGTCAGGGCTTTTTAGGGCCCTGGCTTTTAAGCACACACGGCTTCATTCACAAAAGTCAAAAACTAACTACCTGACAGATGTGAGGTGCCTGCTGCACAAGGGATCCACACCACACACTTCAAGAGGCAGCAAGGGGAGTTTATTGCACTCACTGCCACAACACATTGGCAGAAAGAGTCCACTGACTTGGAACACCACCAGGAATGGCCTGTGCTCTTATACCAAAAAGAATCACATTTGTTCTCAACAATCCCACCTGCACTGCTCAAGGATTCCCATGGTCTTTAAAAGGGATAAGTAGGCATTTATCTAAAGGGAACAGGAAAGGACAGCCCTGGAACATCAGCAACTCAAGACATTGGGGTAGGAAATTAAAGAGCCAGAAAGAACCATCTGGGTTACCAGTCCCCTGCCATTTAGAGAGCTATTCCAAATGTTTCATCCCTCTGTGACTGAATGCAGCCACATTCCTGAAGTGACAAAATCACCTGATTTAGCATTTGCAGTCAGGCTGTTACCTGCCACCTTTGCTTAAGTCACAACAGATTTAGAGTAAGTTTGGGTTTTTTGTGTTTGTGTTTTGGCATTTGGTGGGGGTGTTTGTTTTGTCATGTGTTTACATGTGTTTTATAGAAACAGAAAGCATAACACTTATCTAGGCTTCACACAACAGAAAAAACCTTCAGAAAAAACATAATTAGAATATTTCACAGAAATATTAATGGTCACATAACCTAACTCTGTTAACCAAGTGACTAACACCCAGGGAGACTCATTCAGAATTTAACATAATATAAAACACCTACATAACACACACAAACTAGTGAAACATACATTATTATTTAGGTAAATCCTTCTAAACTGCTGACTCTATGTTCATTAGCCAAGAGCCTTAATCTGCGAAGTTCGAATATCCTTGGCAAACACCTCCAACACACCAGTGCCACGCAACTCCACGTGGACACAAGGCTCCAACAACATCCATCTAAGCTTTGCAGTTTTATTCCTGATATCCTATCACCCAACTAAATCTCCCAGCAAACCTTCAGTCATTGCTGCATCCCTGTTGGGGTTTGCTCATTTCAGATTCCTCTGAATGTATTCCCCTATATCCTCCCTACCATTTTTCATTTGCTTTGCCAAGCAAACCTTCAGTCATTGCTGCATCCCTGTTGGGGTTTGCTCATTTCAGATTCCTCCTGAATGTATTCCCCTATATCCTCCGTACCATTTTTTATTTGCTTTGCCAGCTTTCTTCCGTGCCAGACTTTACATGTAAGGGCTGTCTCAAATACATGCAGTACTTGCTCTACTCCTGTATAACCCTGCAGAACCCACAAACAAAGCCTGACAGTGACAAAACAGCCCAAGTGCCAAGACAAGCCTCCATGCTGAGCCAGGCATATTCTCAGCTCCTCACAGCCATCTGTCAGTAACTGCACCTGACAAGGCAAACAAGTGCAAGTACCTGAGGCAGCAATCACCTTCCTCCCAGAGCTGTACATATCCTACAGCTCTAATGCAATGAGGTACAAGCTGTGGTGGTACCTTCAGTGACAGCTGCAAGTTTATGAGTGGCATTTTTCATCTCAGCAACCATTTCAGGTCTTATCAGGGCTTGCTGGCTGAGACTTTTTTTCCCAGGGGTGCTTCTTTTCCTCACAGTGCTGGAGTTCAGGATTTCATGCAACAAACCCTCCCATTTCAGCATTACCCTGCAGTGATCAAGAAGGGAGATCACCTCAGCATCCGCTTCACCAATTCCAGTAACACCTTTGTAAGGCACAGACCAGCCCAGTTCTGCCAAAGAACAGAAATTCTTCTGGGCACTCAAGCACCTTCTTCAGATAAGGTAAGCTCCAGAAACAGCCCTTAGATCTCTGTGTAAGTACCTTATCCAGAAAACACTACACAGGGATGCCTACAGGTGCTCAGAGAGTATTAGTGCATGTGTGCTGCAACACAGGAGACAAGAACTACAAGTCTGGTTTTATTTCCCAATGTAAATACAAAAAATACATTCTGTTCTGGACACAGGATCAAATACTTCCTTGGGTTTTGGAGCAAAACCCAAAAACAACTTGGAAAAAAGGATAAAAAGGTACTTTATCACAAGCTACATTGTGAGGGAAAGCAATTGGCACATTTTTAAGTGCACAAGCTGTAACTGCATGAATTTGAATTATAATGAAGTTGGGAAAAAAGGACTGAAGACACACACATGCTGTTTTAAGTACACTACCTCCAAAGTTACTATTTAACTGGTCTTAATAACATCTGAATCTGTGAAGCTTTTACTGACTCAAAAGCAAAACTACCTAGAAGCATGATATAATTATTCTATCATTATTTCAAATCATTAATTAAAACTTCATAGGAACAAGCTGGTGGGATTCCAGAAAATCAGCTACCAAAAAAACCCAGCTTTCTGCTGTATTTTCTAGTGATAACTCTTCATCAGAACAGCTCAGACACAATGTCAAGCCTCTCCATGCTGTCAACCTTTACACCTGAAAAAGCAGCAAGGATCTCTTGCGGTGCAGTTTTCAGAGGATACAAACTATAAAAGGTTACACTTGAAAATGCTGTCCTCAAAACTGCACAAACTCCTTCAGCTGCCTGAGGCAGACACCTTTGCCCCCCAAAATAAGTATTTGGACCATAAATACTGAATATTGGAAAGCACAGACAGCCAAAAGCTAAGCCCCAGAGGTACTGATTACACAGTAGCTCTGAGAAAATATAAAGAAAAATAATACAAACACAGACCACTAGCTAGAAATCCCTCACAACCCTTTGCACTAGTTAAAGGGTCAGAAGAAAATTCACACAGTAGTAACTAAAAGAGAGCCATTACAGAAACCCACAGTAGGCATCTATAACAGTTAAGTAAGAAAATGCATGCTAGATGGTACTAAAGCCATTCTTCTTTAAGAACTGCAATATTTTACCTATGCTAAAAAAATCAGAAGAGCTTGTACCTAAAGATATTTACAGCTTGAAAAAACCTTAAAATGGTACAAGACAATAAATCATAAATGAAACCAGCAAGGAAATTATACCTAAAGTAGATAAATAACATCTAAGTATTCTAGACCCAAAATGTTAGCTTTATAAATAAGAACTACCTCTCTTTCAACAACAGTACTTACTGACTTCACTATGACACAGCTACACCACCAGCCACCCAAGGACACACAAATCCCACAACTCCACCACATTACTGACCACTCCCCAGCCAGGGCCCTTATATAAACCCACCCTTAGCACACTTCTGGAGGCTGCTCCTATAAATTTGGCAATGGCAAACAGCTGTTGTTCCCATACAGTCGAGAGTGTGAAACAAGGAGTTTCCTCTGCCTGGTAAGTGGGGCTGGTTTGGGCCTTTTCTTTATTCGGGGGTTTCTTTTTGGAGTTTTTTTTTTCAGGTTTAGTTTTAATTTTGTTGTTTGCAGTTACTATAAAACAGAGAATGTAGCTATATGTGTGAGGAATTGGCTTTTATAGAGGCATCTAATATAATTAATTGTTTCTCTAAAGGCTGCAGGACAGGCTCTAATAGCTCTGCAAAGCTGTCTAACAGCAACAGCTTATAGGTATTAAGAGAAAAAGCACAGTAGCACTGCAAGTACAGTGGGAGTATTAATGACTGCAGCACATTGTGACTCACAGAACTGTTCCCTACTCTTAAATGAGCTTGCTGAGAACAAGAAAGGGACAGTAAAATAAGTGTGCAAGAGGGCTTTGTTCTCTGTGCCTAGATTAGCAGAGAGGATGGAATCCCATGAGTGGTAAGGCTCACAGGGGATCTGAAGGGACACTCCTTGGGCAAGGACTGATCTCAGTGCTATGCTTTAATGCAAAGTAATAACTAAGGTATTCTGTAGCTTGGGCTGTATCCTAACACGTCCTCCTTATAGCTGGAGAGTTGAACTCTTTGTCAAGGACTTCAGCTCATTTTTGACATAAATGCTGCTGCAGGGGTTTATTCTAGCAGACAGCTGCTGGGTCCCCACTAATGCTGTAACAAAGTTTGTGGCTTCACAGTAACATCAGTGAGTGGTAATGACTTCATGGGAGGCTTCTGAAGCCATAAGGAGAGAAAGGCAGCTCAAGCAACAAATCAATTTTGTGTTCCACAGCATGACCTAACACAGTGATCTTGCAGCTGCTTTTACATGCTGAAAGGGGGGAAAATGCTGTTCTACAGTAACTGTAACTCTGAGCAGAAATTAGATGTGTGGCAGGAGCAAACACTCCACAGTAAAGGCTTATCCCAGTACAAAAATAATGGCATGTCTTAAAAGTTAGCAAGCAAGCATTAAAAACCCTAACTACAAATGGGTTTGTAGTAGAGCAATGGCAGTAAGTGGCACATAAGCTGTTTTATTGACAGAGTAAATATTATATTTTTTCCTGGAAAAAAACCCACAAATATTGATCAGAAAATAACACAGACCACTAGTCAAGTGCTTTTCCATGCAGAGCAGGTGAAACCAGATCTAAGAATATCAGTGTTGCCACTTTCAGTAATTTATACCTACAATTTAACTTCCAGTAGAGTTAATTATCCATATAAAGGAAATGGACTTACCAGAAAAAACAGTTGTGCTATAATTAAATTAGTTGACTTCCTTTGTATAGATTACACAAAACACAAAGATATGCAGTTAAGATGCAAAATTGCATGCGAGTGCAGCCTGTGAGCATACCTTCTGCTGCACCCTAAATTTAATACTTAAGATTTGCCAAGTTTGTTATTCTGTGACTTCAGTTAAGTATGCAATAAGGCAATTAGGAAATGACAAATTATAAACATCTTCAAATTCTAAACTAGTTCAAGTTCCAAAAAGAAAGAGCTGCATGTGAACAAAAGCAAATATTTTGGTCCTTGAAATCATGAATGAAGCATGGCATGTGTTGCAAGGTATAACTATCAGAATCTGATAACTGGTTTTGTCTTTTAATGAAAGCAGGAGTTGCCTGTTTGAATTTTTTGTTTTTCTCTTTAGGTATGACATGACACTGTGCCTAAAAATTATTTCTGAACTATATTTTGTAGTATAAAATTTACAGAGCATTTTAACTGTGGCTTATCCTGACAAGAAGGACTCAGAGATGCTGGGGGATGGAGGCTGGACAGGACCCAGCCATGTGCAGGCTCAGCCCAGAAAGCCAAGAGTGTCCTGGGCTGCAGCATAAGCCCTGTGGACAGCAGGGGAGGGAGGGAGAGGATTCTGCCCCTCTGCTCCACCTGGTCAGACCCCACCTGCAAGTGCTGCCTCCAGCTCTGGGGTGCCCAGCACAGGAAGGACATGGAGCTGTTGGAGAGAGTCCACAGGAGGCCACCAAGGTGATTAGAGGGATGGAACACCTCTCCTAGGAGGAAAGGCTGAGAGAATTGGGATTGTTCAGCCTGGAGAAAAGAAGACATCTGGGTGACCTTATTGTGGCTTTCCAAAGGGAGCCAAGAAACATGGAGAGGGGCTTTTCACAAGATCCTGGAGTGCCTGGACCAGGGTGAATGGCTTCAGACTGAAAGACAGCAGGTTTAGATTAGATGTCAGGAAGAATTTCTTCACTGTGAGGGTGGTGAGGCACTGGCAGGTTGCCCAGAGAAGCTGTGGCTGCCCCATCCCTGAAAGAACTTGTCAGGTAAGATGGGGCTCTGAGCAACCTGGTCTAGTGGAAGGTGTCCCTGCCCCTAGCAGGAGGGTTGGAACTGAATGGTCTTCAAGGTCATGTCCTGCTCAGGCCACTCTATGATTCTGTGATCTACTGTGGTCTTGTGTTTTCTCTACCTTAATCTCCATAAACCCTTGAGAGGTGTTGGATTCCTATCAAAACAGTGGGGCTAAACACTGCACTGGTGCAGTGCCCAAGCTGAGATCTGCTGTTCCTCTGTGGCTTGAACTCTTAACACTCCTTAGCATTTGATCCTCAGGGCTCCTATCACTCATCTCAATTACAACAGTTAGTGATTAGCACTCCTGAAAATCTGCTCCATGCTGTTTTCAAGTACACAGGAAATTAAACCTTTAAGGACCACCCATGGAAAGTTTGGGTCAAGTGATTTGCCTTGTGTCATACAAACTCCATGATAAGAGCTGAAATAAGTACAGTCATCCACAGAGGTTTTTCCTCAAGATGAATAATACTCTCACAATCTGCATTCCTGATCTCCTTAACTAAGCCCACTTCTGGAGGGAAAAAAATCTGATTCAAAGCTTGCTCACCACAGACTTTAATTCTTTATAAGCTTCTGGCCTTTAGGAAAAAAATTGAGACTACTGCCATGATCATACACCCTCCCCTTAAGCAGGCAGTTCATTGTCTGATTAGTTCTTTCAAACAACTTAATTTTCTTAATGTGCCTATGCAGGACAGCTTCAATATATAGCAAAATCTATATTACTGCAGATTGATTTTAGATTAATGACAGAGACCATTGCCTTGGTCTATCAGTTTATGTAGGTCTGCTACTAGCTGAGGTGGAAGCACAGTCTGTGTCACTGGCTTTTAAGCGTTAAAAGTAGAGAAATGGTGAAACCCTGAGTTTTTGTTGTCTATTACAAGCTGAAAGAGTGTGAAACAATGTTACACAAACCTTTATTGACTTCTCCTTTTATTCCTGGTCCTGGGTCCTATAGGAAATTACATTAAGGGAAAACTTTCCCTAAAACAGTCCATCTTTAAAAGGAGTGTTTATTGTAGACTATGTGCAGTATAGCAAAAACCAGAAGTAACTGAAATAATGGTTTGCCTTTTTTTCCTGAAAAAAAAAACTTGTTTCTGACCAGCTCAGTGGACCAACAGGAACCTAACAGGAAGCTGTTAAGTCACTCACATGTGCTGAAAATACCTGCTCTACCACCAAGTTTAGAGTCTAGGGAGTTAACTTCATCTGCACTGTAATACACCAACATAACTTTCTCTGCTTATTTAGACCATTCCTCTCCATGTTTTTATCACTTTGCCATAATCTAAAAGAACACTCACAGATGCACTTCTCAAGTGAAGGCAGGACACAAACTCTATTTACATCAATGCAACACTTGATGTTGTACCTGAGCTCATTCAACTGTGTTGACAGGAAGATAATTTTCTGTCTTTTCCCCAACTAAATCTGATGCCTCTGACTTTCAGTGAGACAGGTAGAGCTAAACCTGCTTGATTATACACGCTGGTTGTCAGCTTTACTGTTCATCTGCGACTTGGCTCCTGGAGATCAGGCTTAGCAGGGAAGTGGATGTCGATGACGCCCGTGTTTATGTCAGTCTGCTGAGCTCGGTGTTGCAGCCCCGAGCTGAGCTTTGTCCTCTGGGTATTAAATCTGAGCTCGGCTCTGCACTTTAGGGAGCATCTATGGACTCAGCCCTGTCCTTAGGGTCACACCCCCGGGCTCAGCCCTGTCCTTTGGGTCACACCTCTGGGCACAGCCCTGTCCTTTGGGTGGCATCCGTGGGCTCAGCCCTATCCTTTAGGTATACCCATAAACTCAGCCGTGTCCTTTGGGTCACACCTCTGGGCACAGCCCTGTCCTTTGGGTCACAGCCCTGTCCTTTGCGCCACGCCTCTGGGCTCAGCCCTGTCCTTTGGGTAGCATCCCTGGGCACAGCCCTGTCCTTTGGGTCACAGCCCTGTCCTTAGGGTCACACCTCTGGGCTCAGCCCTGTCCTTAGGGTCACAGCCCTGTCCTTAGGGTCACACCTCTGGGCTCAGCCCTGTCCTTAGGGTCACAGCCCTGTCCTTTGCGCCACGCCTCTGGGCTCAGCCCTGTCCTTTTGCACAGGCCCAACCTCAGGCACTCCCGCGGCAGCAGCGCGGGCCGAGGTCGCCGTCTGGTGGCCAGGCAGCGGCAGTGCCCGCTCGGCTCTGGCCGTAGCCAGCACGGCTCCCGGCCCTCACGGGCAGCGCTCCGAGGCCGCTGCCGGGGCTCAGCAGGGCGGCCTCAGTGGGGGATCAGGGCACGGCTCCCCTCGGCCCCAGCGCCGCTCCCGTCCCCTCAGCGCCGTGCCGGGCGGGAGAGGCCGCGCTGCTGCCCTCGCGTGGGCACAGGCAGCGCTGCAGGCGCGACCGGCGGTACCCGGCAACGGGGCTCCCTCAGCAGCGCCGGGCTGGAGCAGCTCGGCTCCCCCGGGAACGGGGCTCCCTCAGCAGCGCCGGGCTGGAGCAGCTCGGCTCCAGGGGAACGGGGCTCCCTCCCGGCTCAGTCAAACGGGGCCCAGTCCCCCGGAGAGCCGCCTGTCCCGCTGCTCTGTCTGACCGGGGTGCCTCTTCCAAAAACTTTGCCTCCCTCCACTAAAATCCACAACTTTTTCATCTCCAGGAGCTCTGCTGCAACCTCCCCTCCTCCAGTATCTCGTTAGTCTCTATCCATGCCTGGTTTTCCCCTACACACTGCCTAAGGTGTTTCTTGGCTTGAGTGATCCTTCACCTCACTTCAGTGCTCACTAATTCATCTCCTCAAAACCTGCAATCCAATCCCTGACAGTCAACCTTCTCCCCCATGAAATGGGCTCTCTGCATCCCCGGGGCTTTCCTGGGGCGCAGGTTCGCTGTGTGCACACAGCTTTGCTCTTGGTGTAGCAGCGCGACCGGTCTGTGTCAGAGTCGGCAGAACGCATGGGTGAGCCTCAGAGGTTCGCTGTGTGCACACAGCTTTGCTCTTGGTGTAGCAGCGCGACCGGTCAGAGTCGGCAGAACGCATGGGTGAACCTCACTGCCAAACTGCTCTCGTTTGGCAAAATCTGGGTGTGCAGGGCTGCTGTCTGAGGGATATTCCTGACCCTTGCGATGCTTTCAGCTCACTCCTTCGGGTGCAGAGCAGTGGGTGTTCCTGCACAAACCCTCCTGCAGTGCCCCAGACCCTCCATTGATAAGGCCTTAATCAGCACATTCCATGGAGCTCCCAAGGAGTTGTGCAGAAGCTGTTAACAGTAGTGTGGGACAGGATCAGCCGAGTGTTGAGGCTGCCTAAATTGGCAGTTGCTATGTCACTGCAGAATGCCATCACCTCCCTGTAAATCAGCTTTCTCGGGTCCTTTGCAAGTGGCAGAAGATCAGAGGGGTCCCCTGAGATCACAGGCAATGACAGATCAATTCACTGACACAGAAAAGTCTGAGTGCCCATCGTGCATCCTGGCTCACTAGGAGGAGTGACCTGGAGCAGAGGGGGATAGCTGTGCTGTGCCACAGGGAGGGAGGGGGAAATTAGAAGGCATCAGCCCATCCATCTTCAGGTGGCATCAGGCCTGCTGGAGCCTCCTTTCATCTGCTGCTTTAGCAAAGTTCAAATGCACTGGTTCGGAAGGATTTCTCTTGGCTCAAGGCAAGAAAAGCACTTTTAGCTCTGTGCTTCTGCCTTCAAAGCATGCCTCGGTGTGTCTGCCGGGCCAGCCGTGGTGACCTGCGCTGTGTCTGTTCGGGCTTCCTCAGCCAGGAAGAGAAAAGTCCCCTTTTGTCCGAGGGGCTCCCACAGCCCCTCTCTCAAAGGCGCGGCGATGCACGAAGCTCTGCCTCCATCTCCCGGGAGCTCTCCCTGGAGTCTCCGTCTGCCTGGACGTGGCCTGCCTGCAAACTCCTTTGCGCTGCGACGCGTGACGGCCCCGGGCCCCTTCCCCCTCTCCCCGCGGCTGCCTCGGGGCCCGCCCTGACCCCGGCCCGGCCCCCCGCTCCGCTCGGCTCGGCTCGGCTCGCAGTGTGCCCGCCTCTGCCGGCCTGTGCGGACCTGCCGGGCCGCCCCGCCGGGCCGGGCACACCCAGGAGGGTGTGAGCGCAGCGGGAGCCGAGTGCTGGCACGCATGGGCCCGGGAGAGCCCAGCCCCGCGCTCACCTGGCCCAGCTGCGGGAGCCCGACAGCCGCGGGGAGCAGGTACTGGGTCCCGGGGCGGCTGCCCCGGCCCTGGGGATGCTGTCCTGCCCCGGGAGGGCGGCACGGGGAGGGGGTGATCGCCCCGGCTCTGCGGGAAGCTGAGGGGGGAGGAAGGGGGTTGCCCGTGTTGTTCCCACGCTCTGGAGGGCAGGAACGGGGAGCGCAGGACTGGCTGCCCGGGCATGAGACTGAGAGTGGGGGATCTGGGCCGGGCTGTGCTGCGCTTGCTGTTTTGGGGTCACCCTGTGCCCCATGCTGAGCCCGTGCTCTGTGCTCCGTGCTACGAGGAAAGGGAGCAGCGGGGTTAGGCACCAGCTCCTGCTGACCTGCCCGGTGGCACACAGCCTGGGCTGGCTCAGCACGGCTCCCCCAGGACAAGGGCATCTCGATCTGTATATGGCCACCCGGTTGTCCTGTGCGAGCTCAGAGGTCCTTGTGAGGCTACCAGCACACGCTGTCTGTCAGTGGCTGTGGCAGTGGGTCTGTCAGCCCTTCAGATTCCCTGTGCCTCGCACACTGGGGCTGAGTGTGCAGTGGGGGTTGTTTGGTGGGGTCCTTCCAGCCGTGTTGGAGCCCCAGCTGCCACTCTACTGCTTTCCCACTGGAGCACAAGCTGAGCAGGGTCTGGAGTGTGCCTACCCCTGCTCTGTCTGGGATGTGTGCCCTGCACAGGGATGTTGTGCCATAATCACTGATGCTACTGCTGCAGTCGCACTGTGAGCTGGAGAACAGGGTAGCATTTTTCCTGCAAACCCTCCAGACAGCACCATTGGGGCAGATTTGTGACCAGTCCTGTGCCACTCTCTGCCAAGCTCCAGTCCTGGCAGCAAGTCCCTTGGAGCAGCTGAGTGCTGAGTTGCAGCTGGTGCCCACAGCCACTCCTCCTGTACTGTGTACCCTGCGTGGGAGCCTGCCAGGAGCTGCTGACACCAGTGCTCTGCCCGTGTGAGCAGTGACAGGGGACAGGGTGACTCCAAGTGAAGGCTGGCTGCACCCGCTGGTTCCTGGTGGAAATGGTGACTGCTTCTGGTGACAGCTGGGGTATGAGCCTGCAGCCAAAGCCCCGGGGCATCAGGAAGGGGACCTGGATCCATGGCATCCCTTGAGTTAAGGCTGACTCCCTCAGTGCCATCACTGAGCAGGTCACAGCTGCTGGTCTGGTGCCTAGAAGGTGGAGGGGGCAGCAGATGTGGGGCTCTGTTTCGCTGCTCATCATCCTCTGTGCCTTGGCTGGCTGGACCTGCTGATGGCAGCCCCCAGATATCCCCCAGCTTGCAGAAGCTGCCTGGCAGGGATGGGGTCCTGCTCTCAGGGCGCTGCCTGCCTGTGCATGACCCTGTGCTCTGTGTGGGTGCTGGGGCAGGCTCTGCACCCAGCCCTGGAGACCCCCATAGGGTGGACTTTAGGAGCAAGGGGACAGGCTGGGGTGCTGCCCTGTTCCAGGGGCAGACCAGGCTGACCTGGGCCACAGCTAGGGCATGGCAGAGCTGCTGTGGTCTGGCTGGCTGGGCCAGGGAGGAGCTGGGCTAGCACTGCTCCCTCTCTCCACAGCCCAGACTGGAATGGGACACAGCTCTGTGAGGCACACCATTGCCTCCAGCACTGGAGGGGATGTGGCTGGGAGGATGTGGTCAGCTGGCTCCTATGCCTGGCTCAGTGGTCACAGTGAAATGAGAGCCAGGCTTAATCTGCAGGGTGATAGTGTTGCATAGTGTGCCTGGCCTGTTGGGGAGGTTGGGGTGAGGAGGTGCAGCTCCACAGCAGCACAAGCAATAGTAAAGATGGGGTTTCTCCAGATGGATTGAGGAAGATCTTGTTTTGGGGTCCCTGCTTCTTCCAGCCAAGCACCAGGAATCTGAGGATCACAGCAGAGCATCCTGGCTCTGTCCCTGTGCCAGCCTGGGGAGCTCAGTGGTGGCCTTGCCCTCAGCCTGGGTCTCTGTGACTGCAGAAATGGGTTCCCCACAAGCACTTGGACCAAAGCCATCCAGTGCCTGCTCAGCTGCAGCTCCTCCAGCCACACTGGGGATTCCTTGGTGTGCAGGTTGAGCTCAGGGGCTGCCAGGATGGTGCTGCAGCAGCAAGGGCCTGGACTTAGAGATCAGAACAGGAGCTTCCCAGGCCATGGCATGGCCCTGGACAGTCCTTGCAGGTGGGGAAGCCTGGGTGCAGTGGTGCTGTCAAGCTTGCCCCTGGAGCCTGCACAGTGGTCCTGGCTCCCAGGCAGAGTGCTGATCCCTGGGCTGGGGAGCAGGCCCTGCTCCCTGCCAGCTCCAGGCTTGTTCCAGCTTGTTGGGTGAAGGGTCCCAGCACAGCCTGCTGAACAGGTTGGGCTGCACCCTGTGCTGCTTCTTCCCCTGGCACCATGCCTTGCCTGGGGACACAACCAGCAGCCCCACTATGCCCCAGCACTCTGGGCCACCTGCCAGGGTACCTGGACACAAAATGCTTCAGTCTCCATCCCCATGGGGTGGGGGCAGTGTGTTGGGAGGCCTGTGCCAACACACTGTGTATTTCCCCACAGGACACCTGACCTTGGCTCTGGGACAGTCTGCTGCTATGGCAGACCCCCCTGCTTGCTGCTCTACCTGTGCCACCTGCCTGCTCTGCCCCTACAGCTGCCAGTGGATCACTGCCAAGAAGGAGAAGAGGAAGGGCCTGAGAACCACCAAGGTGATACCTGAGTGATGCTGAGCTGGGGCTTGCCAGCCCCTTTTTGGGAGTCTCAGGGTGCTGGCTGGGGTGGGGAGGGGCTGTGGCTGGGATGCTCAGCCCAGACACTGAGCTGCTGACCTCTTGCTGCTGCTCCTGCTTCCCACGGCCGAGCCCCAGGACAGCTGGGGTGCTACCTGGCACCCTCACCTCAGGAACTGCCCTGGCCTGGAGCAGTGGGAGGGTGAGCTGTGTGCCTGCTGGGTGTCAAGAAGGGTAGAGCAGCATTAGTGTGCATCTGCAGTGGGGCTTGCACGTGCCTGGGGCAGAGCAGAGCCCTAGGGCTGAGCTGGCAAGCAGGTCCCGGGGCACCTGGCCAGGCACGTGGGAGACACAGTTCCTGGGCTGGGTGTGGCCCCACCAGGAGGGTGTCCCCAGCAATTTGTAACCTGGGAGTGGTGAGGCCCTGGGATTCTCTGAGGTCTCCGACTCCCATGGGTGTGGCTCTGCTGCAGCTTGTCCTGGCTTGCCTGGAATGTACAAATAGGTCTGGGTTGCTAGGTGTCCCTCTGGCACCTGTGGCACCCCTCACCTACCCCACACGTGGGACTAGTGGCTGTGGACAATGTAGCCAATGTAGCTGGACCCAGCCTGCAGACTCACCTCTACAAGGGCAGTTCTGGGGGCCTGCACTGCTCTCTGCCTAGCCCATGGATCATGCAGCTAGAAGGGAATGGGACCTGGCTCCCCACCCTTTCTTATGTCCAAAGTCCCTGCCTGTTCCCATGGCATGCTGCATGGCAAAGGAGGCGGTCTTGCCACAGGGTCCATCCTCCCCAGCCTGGCAGAGGCAGATTTTTAGTTTGTTGCAGGACATGCTGATCCATCTTTCTATAGCATGGGTCCAGCCAAAAGAGCCAGCCAGGGTGGCTCTGGTCCCTCTCCATGGGGCAGCTCAGTGCCTGGGCCCCCGGCCATTGCTGCTGTGACCCCCTGAGCTCCCCACTGCTGGCTGGGTGATACCCAGGGGTCTCAGCAACCTGCCTGGGGGCTAAGTGCCCTGAGGGTATGTGTATAACTCTCTTCTCTGCCTTTCAGTATGACTGCAGCTGGTTCCTTTTCCTCTTCTTCGTCTTCCTCTTCACACTGGTGTGGCTCTACTTCGCTATCATCATCCTCAATGATTTCCACAACTTCAATGAGTGAGTAGGATCTACATTCAGCCTTGTTCCCCACATCACCCCTGCCCCTCTGACCTTCCCCTTTGCTGGCAGATTCATCTTCAGGCAGAGGAAGGTGTGGCTGGACTGGTCACTGGTCCTGCTCATAGCTACGGCTGTGCTGATCAGCTACTCGTCTGTGCTGCTGGTGAGCCCTCCTGATCCCACTGGATGGGGGGAATGGGGCTGCCCTGAGCTGGGAGGAGCCTGCAGCTTCTGGAGCTGGGTCAGCCTGAGCACAGCCAGAGCCCCTGCCTGTGCCAGGGAGCCCAAGCTCTGTGGCTGTGCCCTGTGAGGGGTGAGGTGTGGGGCACAGCCCAGCTCTGACAGCTCCTTGCCCTTGCAGGTCCTTGCTTTGTTCTTGCAGCTCTGCGGCCAGCCCTTGAAGCTACACTGGGTGCACAAGGTGAGAGACTGGAGGTGCAGGGAGATGGTGCCTGCCCTGGCTGCCCTTACACCTTCAGAAGCTGGGACCAGCCTGCTGGGGCTGTGTATGGCTGCTGTGACCCCACTGAGTGGCTGTGTGTCCCTGCTGACCAGGGCTGCAGCTGTCAGTTGCTCAGCCACATCTGGGATGGGAATATTCCCAGTGCTCAAAGTATTGAGCACAGAGTTCAGCTGGAAACCCAGATGGGGAAAGTGGGATATCAGGGCTTGGAGGGGCTCACAAAGAAGGGATGAGGAGAACTCTGTCTGGCCTGCAAGATGTTGTGTGCTCCCCTAACTGCCCTGTGCATGCCCCACAGGTCCTGCTGATCCTGACTGCCCTGGTGGTGGCTGCAGCCTTCACAGGGCTGGGAATAAAGTGGGCAGAGGAGTGGAAAAGCGCACGTATCTCCCTGCAGGTGAGTCACCTTGATATCGGGGACTCCCCTACTGTATCCAGAGCCTGACCTGTGGGCTTGAGCTGAAGGGTGCTGCCTGAAGCCCCCAGCACGGCTGCATGCACTGGGGGTGAATTCCCTGCCCTTGACTTCTGCTGTCTGGCCAGGCAAGGTGCTCCTTCTGCCCCTGCAGTCCTGCCTGGAGCAGCTGCCACTAGACTGATGAATGGTGGCTGGACCAGAGCAGGGAGTCTGTTCTGTCCCCCAGGAGCCTGTCCCTCCCTCCCAGCACTGTGGATCTTCCAGCACTGGCTGCAGGGCAGATCCCTGGCATTGAGGCTTGTATATTTTGGGGACAGGCACTGGTCCTGGCTGACACCCTGTGGTTTTTGCCTCCCCAGGCAACAGGTCCCTTCCTGCACATTGGAGCTGTGGGGGGAATGACGCTCCTTGCCTGGCCCCTGGCCAGCTTCATCTACCGCACCCGCAGTACAGGTAATCCCCCTCCGAGCACTCCACTTGTCACCTTGGCTGGTGTCCTGCGTCCTGCCACCCAGCTGAGCAGCACTGGTGGCAGTGTGCTGCTCGAGGAGCATCAGTGCAGTAGTGGGAACAGGTCTCCAGTGTGGTAGTAATGCCTGCTCTTGGTGGTTTCTCATGACCGGCCCTTGTTGCAGCTTCAGCCCTCCCTGCTTTGCAGCTGAAGGAGGGCTACAGGTGGCAGAGTGCTGCAGAAGTGCTGAGTTGGCAAGTGCCAAGAATATATCCAGGATGTTCCTGAGGCTGAGGGTGCAATGTTTGACCTAGGGCAACACAGGTTAATGCCAGGTGAAGCAGCCTTGGCTTATTCCTAGTGATCTGCAAAATACCTCTGTACCTCGTCCCCTCTAACATCTGTCTGTGCCTGCAGGTCTCAGGGTGTTTGTGCTGCTTGTGTACTGTGCAGCAATGATTGCACTATACCTGGCTCCCTTGGGAATCACCTCCCCTTGCATCATGGAGGAGAACCAGCTGCCCCCCAAGCCAGCCCTAGTTGGCCATCGAGGAGCACCCATGGTGAGTGACCAGCACCCTGGCAGTGGTCAGGGTGGATGGGCAGGCTGCTCCACTAGGAAAAGCCAGGCTGTGCCTGGCTGTGGGGCACAGATCCTTGTGGCCACAGGCCTGTACAAGCTCTGGCCAGCCCAGAACAATGATATCCCCACAGCAGCCAGGGCAGCTCAGGCCTGGAGGTTGGGTGAGCACAGGGTGAGGAGGGGATGCAGCAGCTGCAGGACAGAGCTGCTTCCTGAGCACTGCTGGACCAGGAGCGTGCAACTCCCAGCAGAAAGCCTGGCTGTGTAGTGTGGGCTGGGGAGCAGGGATGAGGCAGGCTCTGACTGTCTACCCCCAGTCCTTTTCCACCCCCCACCAGGCCCAGGTCACCCCAGGCTCATTGTGGCTGCCCTAGAGCCCAGACAAGCTTCTGGGTGCATCCAGGCAGGATGAGTGCCTGCCCCCAACACTAACACCATTCCTTTTTCCAGCTGGCCCCTGAGAACACCCTCATGTCACTGCACAAGGCAGTGGGCTGTGATGTGCAAGTCTTTGAGACAGACGTCATGGTGAGGTAAAGGGGCTCAGAGGGAGGAAGGGGCTGTGTATCCTGGGATGTCACGTCCCACAGGGGGCATTCTGGAAGACATCTGGAGGACTGATAGAGCCTGCATTTGAAGGCAGCCCTGTTCAAAGGGCTCTGCCACTCCCACCTTCCCAGTATGGGACAGGCTCCAGCTTGGTGTCCCAATGATCTGGGAGAGGTACTGGATTTCTGTCCTCCCCATGCAGATTGCCTTCTGGGGAGGGAGGCTCCACCAGGGGAGGGGTACTGCTTGGAGAACAGACCCTGGCTCCAGTTCATCTCATGCAATCCTGTTATTGGGACAGCTGTTTCAGAGAGCAAGGAACTACTGGGTTGGTGGTCTCTAGGTGCACATTTTTGTGTAAAGGGCCACGAGCAGAATAAGGATGAGGGTTACTCTGGGCAGGTGGCTGGGAGGGGGTAGAAATGCCAGGGCATGGATAGGAGATAAACAGTTTACAACACATGGCTTTCCTCTGTGCTCCTTTGCCAGTGCTGATGGGGTCCCCTTCCTCATGCATGATGAGGAACTCACCAGGACCACCAACGTGCAGGCTGTGTTCCCTGAGAGGGCTGCCCTGAACAGCACTGCCTTCAACTGGACAGACCTGCAGCAGCTGGATGCTGGCAGCTGGTTTCTGGAGGTCAGGAATATCCTTAGCGTGGCTGGTGAGGAATGGGTGCATTTTTGGGTGAAGCATTAGCCCTGCCCTGGGGCTCCAGAACCTTTCCTGGTCCTAGCAGACACCTGGACAGGGTGCAGAAGCCTGCACAAATCCCTTGGGTGCAGTTATGCCCCAAGCTGGGGTTTGTTCTGACTCCTCAGCTGAGTCATGGAGGAGGCTGCTTTGAGAGGGGTGTCTCATGTTTGCTCTGAGCTGCACAGCCTGCCTGGGCTTGAAGGCAGCTGTGGCCAGGCTCTTCCCAAAAGGTGACTAACTATTGCTGAGCAGCTTTGAATGCCCACAGGCGTTGGGGCTGCTTGAATTCTGTTGTTAGTGGGGAGAAGGGTACAGGTGCCCGTGGATGTGCATAGGGAGGTTCCCTGTGCCTGTCTGCACTGGAGAGCACATGGAGAGGCCAGTGTAGGAAACTGAGAGAAACAGGAACCAGTTTGGGATGTGGAAGCTAACAGGTGGTGACTGCCCCCTCTCACCCTTGCAGCGGAGGCCATTTCCCACTGTGCAGAGCCTTTCTCCTGGTGATCGCCAGGAGGCAGCTGAACAGAGGATCCCGTCCCTGGAACAGGCTCTGGAGGCAGCCAAGCACAGCAACATCTCCATCATGTTTGACCTTCGGCCTGAGAACCACAGTGACTACCAGAACTTTGTCAATGTCACCCTGGAAGTGATTTTAGAGTCAGGCATCCCGCTGCAGCAGGTGAGCTGGTCACCACCCCACCCCTGCCAGGCCCTGCTGTCACACCCCTGCCGTGGTGGGAGGTGCCCTGCCAGCCCCACTGACCATCCCTGACACCTGATACACCCCGTCCCTGTGTGTGATCCCTGCTGGGCAGCCCTGCCCACGTGTGGGGTTCTCTAGCTGAGAAAAGTTACCAATAATTAGACTTTAATGCCTACAGCTTCAGACCCCTCCAAATACTTTGGTTTCCCAGCACTGGCCACCCTGGTGTGTAAACAATGACTCAGGCTAGGGAGGAGAGCAGCACTGCCAGCATGAGCAGGAGTACAATGCTGAGGCTTTCACCTCCCCACACTCCACCACACCTCTCCCTGCAGCTCTTGGACTCCTGCTGCACCCTCCTGTTCTCCCTTTATGCTTCATCCAACCCCTGCAGCACAGGATATGTGCTGCCCTCAGGGGACAAATCAGCACTCAAATCACGTTGCTTGGCCTTTTGGGAATGCAAAGCAGGAGGGGACATACAAAAGACTGCTACTAGTGGTGATCCAAGGTGCATTCTTCCTGCAGAGCTGGGGATAAATGTATTCACTCCTTGAGCCATTCAAAGACCCAGAAAGGGCTTAACTGTTGCAGATTTTCCTAGGCTGGAACTGCTTTCTCCCTTCAGTGGGACCTGTGCTTATTTCTTGGCTGGGGCAAGCTCTTAAGAGACTGTCCTGGCTGAGATCCTCATGGAAGAGCTGAGTGTGGAGACAGGGGACAGGAAGCAGCTGTCTAAGCAGGCCATGTGGGCCTGGACCTGTGAGGGAATATTGAAAGAGAGCAAACCCTCTGGAGCACCTCTCCTCTGCACATGCTCTGTCTCTTGCCTAGGTCCTCTGGCTTCCAGATGGGTTCAGGGAAGATGTCAAACAGCAGGCCCCAGGTGTCCAGCACGTCTACGGCCGGAAGAGAGTCGAGAATGAGAAGGAGCCAGTACTGCACGTCAATCTGCCCTACCAGGACATGAGCTCTGAGGAGATCAGGTGAGAACGCTTTGTCCATGTACCTGGGAGCTGTGGGAGTCTGGGGACTGTCCCAGGGGTCAGCAGAGGTGAGGGTGCTGAGTACAGGTGTGCTTCTGGGAAGAGCTGGGAGTGTGCCTTGTGAACAAGTGTCCCCATCAGGCAGGGCTGGTGCAGAGGATGGAGCTGGCTGCAGTTCTCTGCCCTGCCAGAAAATCTGCCCTCTGGATCTCCAGAGAGTTGCTCCATGTGGCTGCAAATGCTGGATCATATCCCAAATGTACAGCCCCCTCTGGCTGTACAGAGTGTGGTGGCACCCTGGTGTCAGCTACTCTGACCATGGCTGTCCCCACACAGGCAGTACCGCCAGGACAACATCTCTGTGAACTTGTACGTGGTGAACCAGCCCTGGCTCTTCTCCGTGCTGTGGTGTTCAGGGGTGAGCTCTGTCACCACCAACGCCTGCCAGGTGCTGAAGGAGATGAAACACCCCATCTGGCTGCTGGTAAGTGACCCCTCCATCCTTCACCCTGCCCCACAGCCCTGTGTCCCAGGCACTTGTGGGTCCTGTGCAGCTGCCTGGAGGGTGACTTCTGCTCACTGCTGTACTGGCACGGGAGCATGCCACCCTGTAGAAGGGACTGGTGGCACAGGAGGCAGGGCTGTGCCACAGCATGCCACCCCTAGATGGTGTTCAGTGGCTTTTCTCATTGCCTTGCAGCCCAGCAGCACATACTTCATGATCTGGATCGTTGTAGACTGTGTTTCCTTCCTTATCATCATCTGGGCCTTCGTCCTGATGAAGTAGGTTTGATCCCTTTCCCCCTCCTGAGGCAGCTCTGTTGGGGGAGGCTGTAGTGTGCCCTGGGTGGCTGATGCAGACCCAAATCTGCTGCCATCCCTCTCTGGACTCAGATCCTGGGGGAGTGCTCTCCTGTCTGGCTAAGTAAGACAGAAGTGCGTGGGAGCAACTTTTATCTCCAAACTGCAGCTAAAAGTCTGCCCTGACCCTGCCTCAAGCTGCTGGATGCCTTAGTTCACACTTGTTAACCCACTCTGCACCCCAGGGCTTGGTGGGCTGAGCCTGGGGAATCCTGGTCCTGCTCCTTTTTCCCAGTGCTGCAGGCACTGAGAGCAGTTCCCTCTGGGACTGCAGGGCCCCAGAGCCTCCAGCTGGCAGCTCAGGGGAGGGAACGGTGAGACCAGACTTGCATGCTAACATCAATCCTATTCCATCTCCTAGGAAATGTTCCCACAGGAGACGGCCAGCGGGTGAGTGCGCACGGAACGGGAGCTTCCCTCCCTTGGAGCCAGGCTCTGCCTCTGGGACTCTCCCTGACAGGCAGGCAGCTTTCTCCAGCCAAACGTGACGGAGTGGTTTGGGATGGCTGGGGGAGGGAAGGGAATCCCAGCCCAGGGAGTTCCTCCTGCCCTGCCATTAACAAGCAGCCCTGTGGGACAGCACTAGGGAATCCCACATTTCCCGAATATCCTCAAACCTGCTTTTCAGGGTACTCCGCCTGTGTCTGCGGGATGGTGGCTGCCCACAATGACTGCTTTTTCTCTGTCTCCTCAGAGTCTGAGACGGATGTGCTGCTCACAAAGATCAACAGCTTGATGCAAGAGTGACGCCTGTGTCAGCTGTGGGGAAGGGCAGCCAGAGCCCTGCACAGCTCAAGCACTCCTCAGGCCAGCTTCAGGGCTCCTTTCCTTCGAGACTCCTTCTACCGTGGCCTTCCTGGCTCCTTTTATGGTGCACAGCTGCCCTCAGCTGAAAAGACTTGGAACTGAGTTCTCATTGCCCACTGGCAGCGAGGAACTAAAGCTTTGCAGGGGTGGCCTAGGGGCAGAATATTTATCCAGCAGTGCTGGAGCTGACACCTCTCCCTTGGGGTTTGAACAGGAGCAGGGATTTGGGTCGCTGTTTGGTGCAGGGGAAGGGCTGTCTCTGCCTGTTGTCAGCAGCTCTGCAGCCAGGGATGGGACACCTGGTTTAAGGGCTGTTCCCCTGGGGGCTGCCCTGTCCCATGGCTTGAGGAATAGGAAGTGGGATGTGGAGTGGCTTTTCAAAAGACAGCAGGAAAGCTGAGCTCTTCACCCTCCTGTCCTGGACACAAATCCTGTCCCTGCTGCTGCTGGCTTCATCTTCACGGGACAGGCTCCTGGCACTCCCTGCAGCAGTTAATGCCTGTTGCTCGGGGAAGAGAAGGAGCAGGGCTGGGGGTGGTGGGTGCCAGGGGCTGGCAGGACCGCGCTCACGCTCCTGCTGCTGCTCCAGGGCAGCAGAGGGAGCGGTGGGACTCGGCATCGGTCACGTTGCAGCAGGGCCTTGAACAGGGAGAGGGGTACCGTGTCAGTTTGACTTGTTGCTGTCTATTTATGTCAATAAAGCAGAGGAGCGGCAGACAGAGCCCGAAGGGGTGCGGCGGGCACGCCTGCATCCTCTCTTCCGCACCTTTCCCTGCCGGCGGCGCTGCCGGCCCGGAGAAGGAGCCGGCGCAGCCCGGACGGTACCGGCCCGGGGCGGGCTCGCTGCGCCGCGCCTCCGTGCCAGCCACTGCCGGCGGGGGGAGCCGACCGGGCCCGCTGCAGGGGCAGCGAGGGGACT